CTGTAGGGTGGGGCTCAAAGGAGTCAGTGTGCTAAAATTTCTTCATTTTCCTTGTTAAGAATCAGAGGTGCTAGTTTCAAATCCTTTTTAGTCTGAAATCTGTATGCTAGATATTGAGTAAGGTGGTTTTATTGTTTTTTGTCACTTTGAATAATATTTCTGTTCATGTTAAAAACAAAATCAACTCTCTGTATAAATATATCAGGTGACCGTTAAGGCCCATGGGCCTCTTGTTGCTTCTAAAACCGAGGTTATAAATGTATTTTGTAGAAATTGTTTTACGCGTACTAATTCAAAATCAGTCTAAACTATGGAGTCAAATGATAAAATCAATCCCAAAATTATCTGAACTAATTCACCCCTGAATTCTTTTGAACTCTTCCAATTCAAAGGTTGGAATAGTTCATTATGAAATTTCAGGGGTGAATGAGTTAAACGGCTCTGTCGAAAAGGAATGCACTGATCCTGTCGAGATCACATGATTTGCTGTAGACGAAAACTGTACGAAAATTATTCGATATATACTTGCTACCCTTTACTTGAACATCAGCTCCCTTGGGACAAAATTTAAATGGAAAAAATAGTAAATGTGGCACAAACTTGGACAGACACAGAGGTGACAGGTATTGGACCTGAGACCTCTGTTCTGTTGTTTTGTACACTAGAGGGCAGCATTGCTTTTTTTTTATTGCATCACTTTTTGTTTTTCTTGAATATAAATTAAGTGATATTGAAGTAGAGGGAGATGGTTTGTGGAAATACAATCGGAAATGAGGAGTCTATGAGGTCCACGGCACCAGTACCCTGTGGCTAGTACACCATCAGGCAGTCAGGTCTGGTCTGGTCTGGTACGATGGACAGCTGATGGGCTGATGGCTGGCCACTCTGACAGCATCATTGCATGCATCGTGCACTTTAAATCAAATAGTTATGACAGAATGGCTACCTCAGGAATGACTTGTCTGGCTAGAGTAGAAATTTACAAAATATTCCCCCTCCATTGGACGTCAATTTTGCAGTGTTTGCATTTGTATCTAATCATAGCCAGACATTTGGGAGAGGAAAGTTTTAGTCTTTTGCTGAAGCGATGGACACGATAAGTATTTAGTGTGCTCTATATGGCGTTAAACATATAAAACTGTCTAGGTATTAAAAGCAATTTTTAATCTACGTCAAAACAACGAAATTTGATGCTATTTGGTTGTGCAATGTGTTTTAGACTGTGTTTTAATTTTTCCAAAATTAAACATTTGCTTCACTAGAAAATTTCATTAAAGTATCGCAGAAAAAAATTTCATGCTTAAATTGTTTAATCTTGTTTGACATGTTTTATGATAAATAAAGCTCAAAAGCAAAGAATTTAAATTTAGGAAATAATGCATGTATAATAATTTGTAGTCCAACAAATTAAACTATGGAAGAGCAGATAACTTTGATCTTATCACAAAGGGAAATAACTCTGTGTGATTGTGTTTGGTGATTAATTTTCCTATTGGGTATGTTAATCCTGTTTAGGAAAGTTTATCATTGTACCATAGTTGCAAACATCATGTAACTACAGTGCTCTGAAGACGGCCTCCCTTTGGCCGAAACATGTCAGCACTTCTGATCTAAATCAAACATTACATTTTGTACCAGATTCAGTGGTGCTCATTGTTTCTGTTTTCATTTGCCCTGTTTAGGATAGATAAAATGTACATCTTCAGAATTTTCATAACCATCAAAAACAAAACAATCGGATAGTATTTCAAGTCCTCGAGTTTATAAATGATCACGTACGAAAAAATGTACCCTGATGAAATTTTAGAAATTGTACCTTATTTATCATTATTAAGTCGTTGAATCTTAAAACAATTTGTTCCTGACACTGACTATCTACTGTATCACTTGTTGATTGAGTGGTGTTTACATGTAATCTCTGGCTAGCTCCTCTAAACATTAGCTGATCCAGATACGTATCTCACAGAGTATGTGTATCTCTTCATTCCTGCAAACTAATGATCCAAAAGATAGAGGTATATAGGAGATGGATGACCAGGAAATGCTGAACTGACCGGAGTGGGGGTCAGTACCTAGCTTTATCATTATACGGGAGGGATGTAGACACAGGGAGGGGGACAGGCAGGTGGCAGGCATATGGAGATGGGAGGATGGGGGAGAGAGTTGCATGTGGTATTTATTGAGTCCAGTTCCATGTCATCGCCTCCCAGCAGTTTCTGATACATGACATGGAGCATGTTTTTCAGCTGCTGGAAGCATGTTGGGAATTCAGATTACATCTCTTCAGTCTCAATCTGACAGAAACTAGCAGGGGTTCTCATGATGTGAGAAGATTCAAGGTAATCTATACTGGAGGTGCAGAGTTCAGGTTTCGTTAATTTGTATGTGCTCATCTGCAAACAGATATGTTTTCACATATTTTGACATTTTTAGTACTGTGTACCTGTTATTTGTGTAAGACCTGTTCTGAGTGGTCAGAAATTGAGTTGGGTATCATATATAGCTGTGCCTGATTATCTTGTTTTTCTGATTGTCAAATGTTACAAGTAGGTACCTGGGTATTTATCCTTCAGTCAATTCTACAGTAAATCGTAAGCATTTTCTGTATTTCTCTTGTGTGGCTCTGCTTTCAATCTCTACCATGCCATCAGAGTGGATTGAAACAGAAAGCGTGAGATTTTCACTCCATTCTAGTTTTGCCCTTTTTCACTCTTAAAGGGCCGGGTGATTGAAACAAAGGAGCAAAAAAATATTTCATATATATAACTTATTTACATTGCCAGTAAATTCAGCATTAAGTCATACTGGGCAACAGGTTAAAACTTCTGTTAAAGTGCTGAAGAACTCTCAAAGAAAAATCAACACTTCAACCAAGGTAGCATCAACATTATGTACCTAGCTCAGAGTTTTATAATAATGCTTTATACATTTTTCTGCTACTTAACTACTTATTAGCAAGAAAATGGAGAATTGTGGCATTCACTTAAAGGTAAAAAAAATAATTCATGGAAAAAATAATTATTCAAGTATTTAACGAGAGGCGTTTTGTACAAGTGAGATACTGAGACTTCAAAACCAGGCAGGTGCTCATCTCTAAAGTTCATCAATATCAGTATTTTACTTAACAAGTCTTCAGATCTCTTAAGTATGAGTAAGGAGAAGAGACGATACGGATGCCCTCCAAACAATATGCAGATGTAATTTTGGCAAAAAAAATTGTGTGCAGATCTTCTTCAAGTCCTGAAACGTGCGAACTCTTGTCCATATTTTCCATCTCAGTGATGTAGTTAACACCAGAAAGCAATTTGAGAAGATTTGGGATTTAAAATATTGAAGCTGTGCGGTTTAATGCGTTTTGAAGATTGATGGCTAAGGCAGGTTGAGACGTTGCATTAGACAGACTTTAGTGTGAGCAAGTCCACTGTGGGCTAGAAACACACTAGTTTAACAGGCCAACGAAATCAATAGAATGCATTTCGGCAGAAAAAAATAACAGTTGCAGTTGTAACTCTCTAATGCAAATGTAGATCTTCAACGAGTGTCTGTTTATCGTAAGGGGTCATCGGAAAAGATATTTTAGGAGTATATAGAAATTGACTTTTCATGTTTCAAGTCCGTAGACAGGATAAGCATGTTGAGAATCGTATTTTTTCTTCTATGACTTGCCCCAGACATTGTACTTTAACTAAATTTGTTTGTCCGCTAACAACCCCACCTAGTTTTATACAGATGAAGTTAAGTGTTTGACAGCTTTCACAGACGGTGGAAGAACAGTTATATAAAGGTCGTTAGGGGGCTCATGCTTGGCTTTAAGAATAAAATCAGTATATTTAATTATCAGAAATCCCAATGTTAGTTTAATTCCTTCACCCCTGAAATTTCATAATGAACTATTCCAACATTTGAATTGGAAGAGTTCAAATTTGTCTTCAGGAGTGAATGAGTTAAAGTGTCATAAGCTAAGTTCAGGTGTAGAGTATCTGTCTTACGTTCATGAAAAAGAAATGAAGTAAAAAGGTAAACTTTTATTTATTTTTAAAGAACATTATAAATTAAAATATCACAGTTAGTTTGATGATGTTTTACCTTTTTTTCAGAATGTGACCTACTATTCATATAGAGGGCGCTTCTCCGAGTCGACGACCATGGTTACGGTACACAAAGGAGGCATCGCACCCCGTGGTAAACAGACATGGCAAAAAGAGTTACTAAGCATTCCAACAGTACCAGCATCTCATCTACGAGGCTGTAAAATCATCGACGTACAATACAGTATAGAGGTAGGCAGTTTATGACCTTGAGCTAGAAGGTCAGTAACAATATGAACCCGAATATAGATGACCTTGAGTGAATAGTGAATTGAAGGTCTAACCTTGAGATTAAAGGTTATTTAATATTTGCCATTGAGTTTGAAGGTCAATCAATGTCTGACCTTGAATGTAAGTGTCAATTCATTATACATATGTACAATCTTGCTTGTAAAGATCATTTGATGTATAAAAGTAGTTATGATATAAGTATCGGCTTGACCTAAAGTGTTATAACTTTGAGTATTAAAGTCAGTCAATTGATGACTGTGAATTTCACAGATGATACGTTGGTCTATGAGCTTTCACCTTGACACTCGTTGGTTGTATTTCAGCTGTGTATAAAACCCTCAGGATTTGCCAAGAAAGTTCGCCTGCCGGTGGATATTGTGATCGGAACGGTATCCATTGAAGACACACAATGCCAGAAGGCGTCCTATCACCCGCTTCCTTCCATTGTCAGTGACAACAACTTTCCCTACCCATTCTTTGAGACGCTGTCAGACCAGATGTATCTGACAGACATTTCATATCACCAACACATGCTGCCGACAGCGCCGCCCTGGGAAAGCGATGACGATATTCCCTGATTTGCTCAGAAACAATCATCCACAGGTACAAAACATTTCAACTATTAAAGAACAGCAGAACTGTAAATATTAATAAGTTTGATATATGAACAATTTACCTCATTATGGTGCAAGAAGTTACCATCTGCCTGCAGAAGCTGTATCAATAATATGGTTTTTGAATGGGAAAATCGTAAAAGAAAGTACACAGAAATGTTTCCAATAAGAAAAAAGAAAAGTTAGAAATATGATTGAAGCTTGTCTAAGGTTGTCTTTTTCCTATTGAAACTGTTACTTTTCTTTTCGTTGCAGGGATTTTAATCACGCAACATATCGTCCATGGATGAAAATCTCATTTCGTTGTCTTGGCGACAGATCTGATACCATTGTCAAAAAACATTGTCCATTGGACAAAATATGTCTGCATTTGACTAATCAATGCTCACGTTTTATGAGGATGTGGAACCAGCTAGGGCTTGTGTGAAGTGTGAGGACGAATTTTTTATACTATTGGTGATGCTAGTCGATGAGAAGGAAACGGGTCACCTGACCGTCATGTGATCACAGGTCATGGACAAGGAGGGTCATGCCCTCCAGATTAAAAACAAATTATGTGTGTCAAATACTCTTATGAATGGAAGAAACAGAGGAAAAATACAACAAGAATTATGCCATTTTGGTATAGACATATTTTCAAGGTCACAGTAATGACCTTTCTGCAGATGACCTTGACAAGTTTTGTCATTGGTCCAATGAAGATTTGACCTTCTTATGACCTTGGAGAAAATATAACCTCATAATGACCTCGGAGAAAGTTATTTTAGCCCCATTGATGGTGAGAAATCATTCTTTCTATCAGCTAGAAGACAACTTTATAAAAGATTGTCGTTGCCAAAGAAAAGGCGTAACCTTGGATTTTACCTGGAGATTAGAAGAATTCATACACGGAGGAATTGTCACCCGAAGTAACATGGTGTATATATGTGTTTGTTTCCATGGTAACACATTCATATAATCATTGTTGTCATTTGTCAGCCATTTTAGACTCATCATAGATCCTAAATATAGAAAATGTAGATATCAATACCAGTATATATGAATATGCTTTCAGACGAGTTCTTAACCACAGACCTGCATGTATGTTGGAAGCTGAAGGTTACTATTATTGTAAAATTTCATGAGATACATCATAAATCCCCATTTTCATCTCGCCTGTATTTTGACTCTACTATTTGATAGGGAGCTTAGCTGTTTATACTAAAAATGGAGATTATTCATGTGAATGAAGGTTTGAAATGTCTAATACAGAACTAATAACCGTGGATTTACATAATTTAGCTTATATATAGTCATAGAGACACATTTTGAGAGAGTCCGAAGGAGTTCATGTCTCTAAAACTATGTATCTTTAATTCAAATATCGTTTTTTTTTAATTTATTTTTTTATCATTGTTCAAGCTTCAGGTACAAATGCATAAATTGTTAACGAGAATTTCTTTTTCTAGTTCATTATTTCAATTTGTTTGCTCTGTAATGTGAATTACAGTTTGTAATTATTTATCCATTGCACGATTTGTTATATCCAGGTTCAATGTCTAGATAATAAATCAAATCAGAAAGTTTGTATCTCTGATATTTTCATAATGATAAACGTTAAAAATAGCACATGATTATAATCTTCTGGGATTCAAAATTGTTACCAGCTGGTAAAATTTAGTTTGAAAATATATTTAACTAGAAGTTTTGATTTAACTTAAGTCATTAGCAGAATGAATCTTGATACAGCAAGGGAAACAACTCCAAAACCTTTAATTAACTCCTTCACCCCTGCATTTTTAAACTGGACTTGCCCAGTCTTTGATTTGGTAAGGTTCAAATGGTACTTGAAGGGTAAATTGGTTAATATATATCCAAGCTGAAAGGGGGCCCGCGGTTGCCGATTGGTTAAGGTGTCTAACTGCCTACTATCACTAGATCTCCACCACTGGGTCATGGGTTCTAGTCCTACGAGGGGCAGTTGCCAGAAACTGGCTGCAAGTTGGTGGTTTTTATCTGGGTGCTCCGGTTCTCCTCCAACACCTGGCTCGTCCTTAGATAACCATAGCTATTAATGGGGACATCAAGCACAAACAAACAACATAACGGTGTTTTTGATCTGAGGTGGATTTCGGTACACCTGTACTCACAGCCTTGCCTGAAGTTTCATTGATAATCTGAAAAACCCACGGTAGGTTTTACACTAAGTATCTTATGACTTTTAATTCTATTGAAATTAAGCCTGAGGCATTCAGGTTCTATGGAACAGATTTATTTAATTCTGTGGCCTTGATGTAATTAAATGAAATGTAACTAATCTACCTACAGCACCCAATCCACGGAGAGAAATCAGGTTTAGGGAATCAGCACCCAATCCACGGAGAGAAATCAGGTTTTGGGAATCAGGTTTCGCTTAGATGAAATTACTGCATTTAATTATCAACAGTGAGATATTTATGAAATGCAAAAAAACTGGGACCCAACAACTTACTAGAATGATGAATCAAACAGACTGCCAAAATACATAGGTTTTATTTGATAGTTTTTGTAAGAAATTAGGCTACAGCTGAATGTTGGATAAGGCAGGATGTCAGAATACTCAGGGGTCAGAAAAGACAGGTTTCCCTGTACACATTTAAAGAGTCATGTCATATACTACATGATGTTGTAAATTTTTGTGGTAATGTTGTGGTTCCAGCATAGCTCAACACTCCATTGCATAATGGTGTCTAATTACAAGTGCTAAATGTATGATCTAGCATGCTATTATAGAACAGTATCACTTAAAACCAAGTGCTTAATGTATGATATGCATGCTATTTAAGTATGATAAGGAAAAACGAAGTGCTAAATGTGTGATCTAGCATGATACATATTATACTATTATGCAAAGCCAAGTGCTAAATGTGTGATCTAGCATGCTACATATGATACTATAATGCAAAGCCAATTGCTAAATATGTGATCTAGCCAACTATTAAGTATCATGTAAGTGAGTGCTAAATTTCTGATCAAGCATGTCATATTATGCAATACTTTAAAATAAAGTGCTAAAAATATGATCTAGCTATTTATTATACTATAATATACCATAATTTTTTATTTTTCTTATCTAACATGCTATGTACAACAAAGTGCTAAATTTGTTATCTGGTATGCTATTACACTAATGTAAAAGTGCTAAATTTGTTATCTGGTATGCTATTACACTAATGTAAAAGTGCTATTTTTTTATCTGGTATGCTATTACACTAATGTAAAAGTGCTAAATTTGTTATCTGGTATGCTATTACACTAATGTAAAAGTGCTAAATTTGTGATTGAGCATGGTATAACACTGAAATGTAAAAGTGCTAAATTTTTGAACTAGCATGCTATTATAATATGTAAAACAAATTGCCAAATGTCTGATCTAGCATGCTATTACGTGACAACAGTGCTAAGCATGTGATTAAGAATGCTGCCATGGTATACGTTTAAGTGGTATTGTTTGTGATTTAGTGTGAGCACCTTACATGAAAAGAAATACTTACCTGGTTTTATTTTGTTCACTTCATGACACATACCTATAAAAACTTACTGCTAAGTATGTGATACAGTTCAGTAATACACTGTTATGGTATACGGTTAAACAACATGTTCAGTTGTGAATACATTCTCTGTGCAGTGCCCAGCGTTCTGTATAACCTTGTAATCTAAATGACGTGGCCTGTTAATCCCTGTAAGAGGATCTTTGCATCAAAAACCAGTGTCAATGTACTATGTGTTATAATACTTTGCTTGTTCAAACACCACATAACTCTTAGAAACTACAAGTGCTAGACTAAAAATAGCATCTGTTGGTCATGATCAGCTAGTACTGTTACTAAAAGCTCATAATGCTTCGTCTGATTATACAGGGTGTATAATCAAAACCTGACTTATTCTTGGCATCGTAGATACAATAAGACATGCCTTACACTATATAGATACAATAACACATGGCTTACACTATATATATAGATACAATAAGACTTGCCTTACACTATATAGATACAATAAGACATGCCTTACACTATATAGATACAATAAGACATGCCTTACACCAGTCTAGGTCAGTATACATGGTTGTACTGTGTTATAACTTCTGTATTGATCATTACTGGTTAGGAGACGGCATGTATAGGTACATGTGTGACATACAGATGCTGCTCATAGGCCTATAATCACAGTAATACATTTGGAATACATCTCATCACCCTGACTGCTACAGTACATACTAGATATAGGAAAGCGTTTCTGTATTCAAAAGGTTTCAGTTACAACAGGGAGAAACGTTGATCAGAAATGAATATATATAGATTCAAGATTGTGATTCCAGAGAGATATTCAGAATTTTTATTTTTTTATTTTTTTTTATACAAACAATACTGCTTATATTGTTTAATTATGCTGCACTAATTTCTTTTTATAAATTTGAGTTCAGGATTTATCTCCCCTCACAAATTATTGTGAACATAAATATCTAACTAAATACAACAGATGTAAAGTACATGTACATGTACATGCTATACCCACCTTGTCAAATTGGTTTTAGACGAGTTTGGTAAGGGTGTACAAGGCCAAGAAACATTTTAGCTTGAGTAGACATTCAGGAGACGCATCACCTTTTCCATTACGAGAAATGTTAAAGTAATTCATCCGCCTATAACCCAGGTACACCTGTTCTGTCTGTCCACTCAGGAAATTATTTCATCCAATCAAAAGTAGGATCACGTTCTTCCGTATATGTTGTTCTGTGTGAAGCATCGTCTCTGTATCAATCACCCCATTTCCTCTCATTCCTTTGTACAATATCCCAATAATTCAGTTAATCCTTCCATTATGCTCACATATCGTTCTTCCAGATGTATTTTGTAAATGTTTTAGCCAGTAACTTTGATTGTTAAGCGACTGCTGTATTTTTTCACTCACCCACAGGTAGATATATGTTTTGTGCAATAACCAATTATCAGACCAAGACTGCACGTCCCTGTTACTTTTGTCGAGTGCGACTTTGAGTTACCATGACAACCAATGCAATGAAGACCTACCAAAGACTGTCTCTGTCACTTTTATCCAATATGACCTTATCCAATAAGACCTATGTCTTGTGTGACCTTGAGTTACAGTGACAGCTAGTCTAGACCAGCCAAAAACAGTTAATGTTACTTTTTGTCTGGTGTGAACTTTAGTTACCATGACAAGTAAATAAACAGTCTATACCAATAAAAAAAACACCTGTTACTTGTCATGTGTGACCTTGAGTTACCTTGACAGCTAATCTAGACCAGATAAAAACTGTCCCTGTTACCTTTAGTTACTTTGAAAACCAGTCTAGACCAACCAAAGACTGTCCTCGTTACTTTTGTCTTGTGTGACCTTGACTCACCCTGACAACCAGTCTAGACCAAACAAAGACTGTCTTCATTACTTTTGTCTTGTGTGACCTTGACTCACCCTGACAACCAGTCTAGACCAAACAAAGACTGTCTTCATTACTTTTGTCTTGTGTGACCTTGACTCACCCTGACAACCAGTCAAGACTAACCAAAGACTGTCCTCATCTCTTTTGTCTTGTGTGACCTTGACTCACCCTGACAACCAGTCTAGACTAATAAAAGACTGTCCTCATTGCTTTTGTCTTGTGTGACCTTGACTCACCCGGACAACCAGTCTAGACTAACCAAAGACCGTCCTCATTACTTTTGTCTTGTGTGACCTTGACTCACCCGGACAACCAGTCGAGACCAACCAAAGACTGTCCCTGTTGTTGTGTCTTTTGTAAACCTGTGTTACCATGACAACCACAATCATTACTAGACCAATCTTTGACTGATTTGGTAAACTCTGTACAGTGTGAATGTTAGCTGCAATGACAACCACATCAATCAATTACTAGACCAAATAACGTGTATACTTCTACCATTGTGACCTTTGCTACCGCAAGTGTTGCCAAGTATGTTCATATATGACCTTGTAGCGGGTAAAGATGATGAATTTTCTCCTTGTTTCCTATCCAAGTATGTGTTGTTCACAAAAATGTTCACCTTTGAACTTTGAACCAATCTTGTTACTGAAACGTTTCCTCATTTCCTCTTTACCAGACCTAGAGGGTTATAGAGATGTTAACCTTTCACCTTTAACTTTGTTTTCACCTTTGACCTTTAACTTTGTTGTAAATCTTTTATGTTTTGCTTGATATTTATATATATATCAAAAGCCATGAAAAGAAATTTCTTATGATATCTGTCAAATGTTAGCATTTTAGTTGAAAGCTTTAGATTTTGTTGTGTTTTCCTGCTTTTTTCTGTGATAGTGTCCTTTTAAAAGTTAGTGTTTGTTGTTTCCTTATATAATACCGGTATTGCCAAAATTGTTAAAACCATATAGTACGCATTAATTATGTGATGATGTTTTAAATGATATAACACGATTGATGTATGTCTTGTACCTGTTTTTATAGTTCTCACTGTCCTGATAACAATAACGGTATAGAATATTTTTCTTGATTACTCCACATTGTGAATATACAGTATTGGTATACATGTGTCAGTCGATTCGAACTAAATTTGTGATCACACCGTTCAAACATGTCATTACTACAATGATAATTTCAAAATATATATTTCCATGTAGATTTAAATAGTAATTAATTAATTAGTAGTAATTGATTAATGCTTACTTCTTGAAATTTCATGGAAAAATAAAAATGTGAATGGGAAGAGACAATTCCATTGTGTTATAATGTTGGGAATATTCAGTTGTATTCCAATTATGATTCATACAGATATATATCTGATTTTTCTATCTTGTCAGAAAAAATAACTGCACATAATAAAGTAAGATCTACTTTCCTCAAATGGAAGACTGACTTCAGGGAAATATTTCAGAAATGTGGTAAATTGATTTCAATGTTTGTTTTCTTTTTTTTTATGTTTTAATTAATATGGTTTTAATATGATACAAGATGTCGGGTGATCTTGAAATCCATGTTGCTTCCACATCACACAACTTGTATATAGAAAATACATTCTTCAATTTTTTGAGATGGAGTCGTTTATTATTAGAAATAATGAAGATGAAAATTAACAATATTCTAAGTCTAAAAATGCAACAAGGCATGCAGACAGTGATTAGAACGATAGGCCCCCTCCACAGTGATTAGAACGATAGGCCTCCTCCACAGTGATTAGAACGATAGGCCTCCACAGTGATTAGAACAATAGGCCTCCACAGTGATTAGAACGATAGGCCTCCACAATAATTAGAACGATAGGCCTCCACAATGATTAGAACGATAGGCCTCCACAATGATTAGAACGATAGGCCTCCACAGTGATTAGAACCAGGCCCAGTCATGCTAGGGTTTACAGTTGCACCCAGATTAAAATTAAGGGGAAGTACCTGGATGTAAAGAATCCCAATGTGGAACTCTCTAGTGTTTTACCTTCAGAGGCACAGTGATCCTTAATGTGTCTTTAATCACAGACTGGCTCATCCTACTGTAGATAATCCCCGCGTATAGCTTAATGCCAAAATAATTATTATATTACTATTGAAGTAGACACAGAAACAATACCATTGAAAATATCTAGATGTTCTGTTTATTTCATGTAGAAAATACACATAACAATCAACTACATCTTATCAATGTATGATAGATTTCAATCCGTTATCATAATTTCCTCATTGAAGGTTTTAATCAATTATATTTTCATGCATCATATTCCTCGATAAAAATAATTTTATCAACGAGCATATTGTCATGTATCATAATTTCATCATTAAATATCATTTGTTTGTACCATATATATATGTGCTGACTTAAAGCAATCAAATCATGTTCTATTTTCTGTACAAGTGAGCTGAAGGAACCTGAACGCAAGGCTATGCAACAAGGGGAGATCACCCTGATAAGGGTGAATGTGATACCTATATATGTGTGTGGTGTATGGGGCGACGCCCAGCACCTCGCAAATACCAATAAAGTAAAAAATAAACAATTCAAAAGTGTCAGTGTTTTTATTATGCGTCTTGAGTGTTTTTTTCTAAAAAGATTAAAAAAATAATGTCAAATGAACGGTTCAACTCTATTTAGAGTTATCAGGGCCACACATTTAGAGAAAGTGGTACTATATTTAAAATTATCACCTTGTCTGTTCGTCCCTTATTCATTTCTGCATGATAATTCCTACTTTCATTCTCTTTGTAATTTTATAGGGTGATTATTGATTTTGGACCAAAATCTTTTTATTTTTTCAATGTATTTGCTAAATTATACTACCTACATTTTGAGATCTATTAATTTCAATGAGAAGAACAACCTGAAGGTGTCAGTTAAAAGTATTGTTTTTCCCCCCGAGAGATATTCATACAAATTTTTTGTATGCTTAAATTTTGGTCAGGCAGAATATTCCTGATGGATATATGAAAAAGTTGGCAAGTATGAATTATTTGCATAAATATATTTCTGATGTTGATGAAATTTTGTAAGCAGGTACAATGTTCAAAGATCTAAAGTATTGGGTTCAAATTTACATAAAATCTAGGCAAAGTTATTGGAGTAATTTACATGCTAGTCTGATTGGTCAACAGTTTCTGCAAAAATATTATCAGTTTCTGATAAAATTTGGTTACATTTAAACTCTACGAAGAGGAAATAAGTGGGAAATTGAGTGAAAGCACACAGTTACATCCTTGGCTGAATAGGTGAATTCCATAGGAAGGGAGGTAACTCTCAAATGGTGACATTGCCATCAAGGACCATTTCAAAACCTTTTCCTTGATGTGTACATTCCATGCGTGATGGAAATCAACCCCAATTATCGGTTCCATTTCCATTATTATATTACTCTATTAGACATGAATCCAGAGAAAGAAAAAAAACAATCACTTCAATTTAGCAAGAATATCAATTTATTTTTCTATATGATATCATGATCAATTTAAATACAAACAATAAATATTTCCATACAATATCACAATCGCAATTACCTTACGTTTTAATGCAAAGGCAACAAAGGTTCATACCGCATACATCCAACACACCTGGGCCCATATTCATGAAACTGTTCTCATGCTCAAATTCAGATTCTTTGCTCAAACCCAATTTCTTGTTCCTGTGATAAATTAATAAATGAAATCACATTTTGTCAAAAATATGGAAAAATTGGATAGATTAAAAACTGAATGAGGCTTTCAATGTTAGTTTGACTGTGAGATATAATTTAAGTGAGTTACAAGAAAGTTGGCTTGAGCGCAGAATCTGTAATCGAGCATGGGAAAGGTTTCATGAATACAGTCCCTGTACTCGTTAACCATACTGATATAAATACACTGTACTTATACAATGTATTGAAACATTTAACTCAATATTTAATTACATATCTTACCTTTCAACTAATTTCCCCATACACATACACATGCGAGAGCGTATTTTCTATTAGTGGCAGTGTTTATAGATTCTGTTCATCATGTATTCCATGATAATTGGGTAAGATTTTTAATGAACTTAAGTGCCCTAAGTGATTGGCAGTAACAATTTTTTTCAATTTCTTCCAACAGGCAGAACTGACCAGAGCAGTTCGTTTTGAAGACACCGACAAAGTAAATAATTCTATAAGATCATAAAAATGATAATGTACAGTTGGATATCTGAAAATGTGTATTTGGACGGATATCTGTGTTGTCAGATATATGAAAATCTTTGGTTGAACATCTTGGATATCATCTGTGGTGATATGGAGAGGTCCTAATAACATCATTCCAACCCAGGATCTGTGCTTATATATATCATGTAGTATACGATATTTTTCAGCCTGGAGCAGCATACAAAAATTTCTCAGCTTAATTCAAAGTTTTTAAGAAATTTTTGAGCATCATCACTGAAGATGTAGGTACCCTGCTAAAATCAACTAAAATTTTGAGCCTCCTAATTATAAATGGATATATAGTTACCCATCCTACAGCTACAATATTAACAGGTATTACATCTTCAGCTCACTTCACAATGTCTTCAGAATTTCTTAGCCTCCTAACTGAAGATATTGGTTCACTGTAACAGGTATATCATGTCTTTTCCTGCTACTGAAGTCTGTGCATCCTGTAATACCACTTAGATCTAAGTGACCCAATGAAAAATGTCCCGAGTCTTAGGTTACTGAACAATTATTCGTGAATTCTGCAAGTCAGGAATGAGGATTGAGGTTATGTCTGCTAGAGGTAACGCACCTCTATCCAGTAAGTAGAACGGACTCAGACATTCAATCCATGTTGCAGTACGTATTACAGATAATGCTAAGGTCCATTTGTTGAGATCAATCGTCGGTGTCGGAGTCAGAAGCGTCCTCCTTGAGTACGGCCGACGTCAGGGACTTGAGATCCTCTATAACTGACTCCAGGGGCTCATCTGTAACAGTAGAAACGCAAAGTTTACCCTGTTTAATTGATGGAGTTCTGGATACAATTATTCTACCGTTAACCCTTTCTTGTAAACTGCAATGGTATACCAAACCAAGTTATCTATTATATAAATGTTGGAAGTAAATGTTATCTTAAGTAAGTCATGTTTAATACAGTTTCAGTGAAACTCAACACTGATGACAACTGTCTTAATGTAAACATTGCCAAGACCTTGGCCCTTTTCGTTTATGTAAAATGACTTCCTCTTTTAAATGTAATATAATCTGGAGTGAAGCCTGGCAGACGAGGTATGAAAATACACAAATACCTCTGGTTCCACCTTTGAAACCATTTAGCTAATTAATTTATGAATGAAATTGACCATATTAAACCACACTGTTGGTTGCTTATAACTCCAAGTTCTTGATGGAGATTTTTTCTACTCTGTCCTTGTCCTCCATATATAAAGGAGCGATACATAATGAAGACGAATCCCACATTTACGACAGCTAGGAAAGATCTACGAATGTTTATATTCAACACAAATTGTACCCTACCTGTTGGTCCTTTGTCTGCTGCCCCCTCCAATGTGGGTGGTGAGATCACAGCCTTTCTCTGAGGTACAGACTCCTCAGCCTCAAAGGTGATTGGCTCTGACCTTGTGGCCTTGACCTTTCCTATAAGTCCTTCCTGTCTCAGAGTGGCCTGAATGAAAGAGAAAGAGGGGTTTGTATCTGAAATAATTATACTAATTTTGATATGCAAATACTCTTCTACTAGAGATATTTTACCTGTCACTATCAATAAAGGCTGGTAATGAGGTATTATAACATTTACTGAAAAAAATGGCCTACTTTGTGTGTTGGATACATGCAACCTCCAATCTTAAATGAAAACCCCGGATTACTTGCCTATTATCTGGTTACAAAGGAGACTTGGTTACACCATATTATTGTAATTGTAACCTTGGTTCCTCATAGGGACCAAAGGCTACTTTCCGTAATTGTAGCCTTCCTTTTCTGTAGTTACCAAAGATAACCAGCCATCATAATGTTCCTGTATTACTATAGTAAAATTCAGTTACTATGGTTAAACCTTCCAGCCCATCCTGAGATTGCTAACTTGTGATACAAGAGTTACCTATAGTTGCCGCTGACCTATCATGTTTCTTTCCTAAGTCATCTTAAGGTTCCTGCCCTGTATTAACAGTTATCTGTGGTTGCTATGGCTACCTACTAGCATGAGATTTCTGTGCTGTATTACCATGGTAACCTATGGTTATTACAATTACCTACTATAATGAGATTTCTGTGCTGTATCAACATGGTTACCTGTGGTTGCTATGGTTACCTACTAGCATGAGATTTCTGTGTTGTATTACCATGGTAACTTATGGTTATTACGGTAACCTACCATCATGAGGTTCCTGTCCTTCTCCAGTGCATGTAGTTGCTGCTGCAACTGGGTGATGTGTTTGGTGTAATGTGTTTCTACGGTTACCAGATGCTCTGCTGATCGTTCCTTCTCCCTGTTAGACTGGCGTTCTAACTGTCGAAGTGCAACAACTGGAATGGCCAATGTAAACAAACTTTGATTTTCTGTCCTTTAAATAACTTCTACATAATACAGGTCCTGGTTTAAATTAGTATATCTATCGTATCACAAAACAGATATGTTTCATTCAATCAGGTGAAGAGATGTCAAAAGCAAAAACATGTCCTTTCATTATTTGTATCATAATTATATACAATGTACTGTAAAACATCACCATCTCATAGCAAAGCCAAAGATTTTCAAGAAAAAGACAATCAGTTACCTTACATAAATATACATACACAGATGATAAATCTGAAATCCAATGTTTAAAGACATGGTCCAGTTTTACAATGTCATATATGCAGAAAAACAATTGTGACATTAGTTTTCAATATTTCTACAGAAGTAGTCGGGTATTCACAGAATTAGCCCTTTTTGCAGTTTAAATTTTTGAATGTGATGTACTAATTCCAAGAAATGAACAATAATTTCCAGTTTCTCTTTTCCATGGAAACTTATCACTCCTGAAAATTGCCAAAAGCAGAACCATGCAAATTATTGCAGTAAATGATACAAAAAGTAGATTTCAAATAAAACCTATCATCCTTTGTCTGTACCTGCTTTCGTGTGCTCCCTTCGAGCGTCATCAAGTTTACGATTCAGCTCAGCCAGTTCCTCTGCCGTTTCTGTCTGCATTAATGTTTTCTGCTCTGACAAGACTAAAAAATGAATTAAAAATTACTTATTCAGGACTCAAAGCATCAGATCAAAGGGTCAGATAGCTTGATATTTGGAATGGGTCTAAGACAGAATAAAACTAAAATATGACTGCCCCCAATCACAGGCAAACTATATAATGTCATTCTTTGACAAATGCCTATAAATAGTAACAGTGTCTTTGGCCTTGATATTTAAGGAATGATTTTTGTTTTTTCAACATTTATGAGGTCATAACAACAATAGGTTTATGGACATATTAAATGAATCGCGTTAGCGATTCATGTAAAATATGTCCAAAAACCCATTGTTGTTATGACCTCATAAATGTTGAAAAAATAAATATCATTCCTTATATTTACATTGACGAATCCTTTCAGTGGATCGATATAACAACGAATAAAACAAATAAACAGGGTTTGTTCCTGCTTATACACGGGTGCAACGCAGTGGCGAGAACAGTGTTTTTTCGCGGGGAAATGTGACACTATCGTGAGAGATCTTAGCAACCGTCAACAACAATAACACAACAAAATGTAGTTCCATATTCAATGTTTATTTGTAGCACAGGACACGTGAATACGTGGATATTTCACAAAGCACAGTTCAATAATATTTTAAGATGTAAGAATTAAGCATCTAGGTCGGTCGTTCCGAGTGAGTAGTTTTTGTAGTGTATTACTACGCAGTGTGATCAGGTTACTATCAGTTCCCACGTGCTGAGATTCTATGAACACCTGTGTTATGCATTTATGAATGTAATTTTTGTCAATGGGTCTAAGCATACAGAATGTAAATATTGTGAAATCAATTTCTGTGCTTTAGTGCACCTATAATAAAACATACAATCTTTTTAAGTCAATCATATTTGCTACATCTCCTAATCCTTGCATAGAGTCTACATGATGCTTTCTAATGGCGGTAACAGTGTAGAAGTTATAGCAGGCTGCATTGCAGTTTATATCTCAAGTATTACTTTCAGGTTTTATAATATTACACAGTTAAAATTTTCCGATCATGTATAATGAATGCCCCATGAAAAAGCGACAATATTATCCCTGCAAAAATAACTGGCTATATAGGGACTTGATAAAAACGGCTCTTTCAACAATTGGCCCCTAATTGCCACCCTAGAAAATGACATTTTTGTAGGGAACTCTGTAATTTAATACACCTATGATGTGCAGCTCAGTATTCAAATATTCTTTTGCCAGCTGCTGAGAATGTTGCAGCAAACAGAATGGAAAACATGTAGCTTTTACTGAAATGGCAATGGTGCCACAGTTTGACAATAAATTACGATTATAACCTGTATGTATCCTGACCTTGACCCAGATTACACCACTACAACTAGTACTACGACATACCTTGTGTAGACCTGATGTCCTGATGAGCTATCGTACATACCTTGTGTAGACTGATGTTCTGCTGAGCTATTGTACATACCTTGTGTAGACTAATGGCCTGCTGAGCTATCGTTCATTCCCTGTGTAGACCTGATGTCCTGCTGAGCTATTGTACATACCTTGTGTAGACTAATGGCCTGCTGAGCTATCGTTCATTCCCTGTGTAGACCTGATGTCCTGCTGAGCTATTGTACATACCTTGTGTAGACCTGATGTCCTGTTGAGCTATCGTACATACCATGTGTAGACTGATGTCCTGCTGAGCTATCGTAAATACCTTGTGTAGACTGATGTCCTGCTGAGCTATCGTAAATACCTTGTGTAGACTGATGTCCTGCTGAGCTATCGAACATACCTTGTGTAGACTGATGTCCTGCTGAGCTATCGGACATACCTTGTGTAGACCTGATGTCCTGATGTGCTATCGTGCATACCTTGTGTAGACTGATGTCCTGCTGAGCTATCGGACATACCTTGTGTAGACCTGATGTCCTGATGCGCTATCGTACATACCTTGTGTAGACTGATGTTCTGCTGAGCTATTGTACATACCTTGTGTAGACTGATGTCCTGCTGAGCTATCGTAAATACCTTGTGTAGACTGATGTCCTGCTGAGCTATCGTAAATACCTTGTGTAGACTGATGTCCTGCTGAGCTATCGGACATACCTTGTGTAGACCTGATGTCCTGATGTGCTATCGTGCATACCTTGTGTAGACTGATGTCCTGCTGAGCTATCGTACATCCCTTGTGTAGCCTGATGTCCTGCTGAGCTATCGTACATAACTTGTGTAGACCTGATGTCCTGTTGAGCTATCGTACATACCTTGTGTAGACCTAATGTCCTGTTGAGCTATCGTACATACCTTGTGTAGACTGATGTTCTGCTGAGCTATTGTACATACCTTGTGTAGACCTGATGTCCTGTTGAGCTATCGTACATACCTTGTGTAGACCTGATGTCCTGCTGAGCTATCGTGGTCTTTAGGACCTTGATCTTCTCTGACGCCTCCTCCAGCTCTCTCTGCTGAAGGTCACATTTTTCACTCAGCTCTATTGCTCTCTGGACAAACACAGAAAAGTTTATCATCACACTGACAGATTATTGTGTTATTATATACTTCTCCAAAAACTTCATCAAACCTTCCCAGTGCCAGCCCTGTTATGTAGTGTTTGTATGGTGCATACAGTTTAGCTCTGATAATCCAGTCCTTTCCCATCCTCGATATCCAGGGATTACGCTCACGTTTGCTCTCTACACCCCTGGAGTATGTCATAGCAAAATTGAAGGCACGAAGATAGCTGTTTGATTGGTCTCAGGTAAAAAAAACCTGACCAATCGCTAGGCTGATACCTGTCCATTGAAGATTACAAAGGAGAGACGCCCGACTTCAAAGCCTGTCAATTTTTACATTTATCTGACTGCAAGATTCTTTTGATGAACATTTCTTCTTGTCTCATCAACAAGGTGGCGCACACCGAGCATTCAATTTTGCTATGACATATTCCAGGGGTGTAGAGAGCGAAAGTGAGCGTAACCCTGGATATCGAGGATGCTTCTTTCCTGGAACAGTTCTTCATTTTATCTTAATTCCGCTGAACACAGTAGAATCATTCAGTGCAAAATTAAACATCCATGTTTTTGGAACTAAATATGATATGGCGGTTGGTCAGATCTGCTTAATTTATTACCCTCCATAATATTCTGGTGTTTTAACCACAAATTTTGGTCCCTGCAAAATTAAAACTAGACAGTATATATGCCTGTTAGAGCTAGTAACTATAGGTAAACTTAACATCTACTTTGAGTAAATGTCTATATGTTTAAGTAGATTTTGCCTCTGTGGTAGTTATCTACCTTAGTAGTTTCTATAGACTAATTATATTTCACTTGTCAAGATATTTGTTTTCATGCATTCAGCATTAAACTATACACGTTTTGTGAAATGCGAGTTAAATATTCTCAAGGTCCCAATCAACTCTCTAACATAACAAGTTCTCTGCTTATGACATCTGGACCTGGTTTTTCTGAGCTTGACAAGACTAATGATAAGACTAAAAACAATCTGTAAGCCGTGTATGCCCCTAGTCTCCATTCAACGAATGAATATGACAAGACAAAAACACCTTTTTGAAAATTTGCATTATGAACAGTTTAAGCCAAGGAGGCATTGAGCTGTTGATCCCAGGGATACAAAAGTGTACATTGTTGTACCTTAGCTCTCCTGTTGATTGATCAGACACCTGATAAATAAGTGTCTCACCTGTGATTTTTCCTGCGTTATGTACTCTAGGTCCTCAATGGTCTTTCTCAAGCTGGTAATCTCTTCCTCATCTGTAACAAACAAAACCAAAATAATAAGTCACAGGACGTTTGAATTTATTCTGCCAACCGCCCACATCATTAGAACTAAAGTTTAGTAGCAATAGTCTTCTAACTTAAAGTTCAGTTTTATTGATATCCAAAATTCCATGAAATGGAGGACAAACAGCATAACAAAAGCAAAACTCTTATACACAGCAGAAAAACCCAATGTTCTGTAAGATCCCATCTCTGAGCACTCTGACAACCTGTCTAATCTGACCTAGAGTATTCCCATATCCTGTCTAGTACGTAGGTGAATCCATTTATTTTTCAAACAGAAAAACAAAACAAAACAAGAACACTGTTTTTTGTACACCTTTGTTCCCCTAACGAGACCCTTCCCTAGACCTGCTCTTCAATGGATCCACTCTGACCAAGGCCCTTAATATATTTACTGGATTCTTATAGAGGTTATATTACATCGACTTCTAGCAAAGGGGAATAACTCTTATGGTGTATATGCAAGGTTGCATCAATTTTTTCAGTTTCATAGAAATTGGATCATAAAAGATGAAATGAATTTCTGAATAGTATATATCTGTGGATACTGGACACATGTTAATAATAATCTGTGGTTCTTATATACCGCTTTATCACAACCTAGGTCATAGGTTGTCTCAAAGAGGTTCACAAATTATTATCCGTGGTGCCTGGGCCTTTGCAACCAGCCAATATCTTTTTTAACTTCCTGGATTTCATACAGCGGGTGCCGCAATTTAGATGCTCACAGCTAGCATTCAACAATTCCAGCACTGCCCAACCACATACGCATTTACAGTTGAGTAGACTGGAACAAGCGAAGTAAAGTACATGTATCTTGTTCAAGGATACAACACAGTGCCTTGATGTAACTCGAACCTGCAACCCTTCAGTCACAAACCTGGCGTCCTACCACTAGATTTCCCTGCCTCAATCAACTGGCAAGGCAACTGCAAAAGTACTGTAGAATACCTTACATGACCAGATATGATAGAATACCTTACATGACCAGATATGATAGAATACCTTACATGGCAAGGTATAGAGAATCTTACATGTTGCTGTGGCCTCTTGTACTCGTTCATCCCAGGTTTGACTGTGCTGTCGCAGGTGAACGGCCAATGTGTCACGCTCGTTTGTCACACGATCCAGTTCCTCCTGTATTTGAGTTACACTGAAGTACACCAAAAAATACATAGGTATTAGTGTTACAAATCATACGAGACAATCTAAAGGGCCTCAAACTAAGAATAAAGACACCCACGATCATTTCATGTTATACAGTATATTAATTATTAAGATCACTCTATGGAATTACTAGCCCAGATAAATAAAGGTCTAGACCAATATTCATATCTAAACAATCAAGGAATATTTGGTTGCAAGATATAAAGTCATGCAATATGGTTGTGTATGCATGGAGAATACTAATACCGTGTCTTCTTTCAATCTACCTCAGTAAAGTGGCATAACAACACAGAATCTGAACTTGTATTAATGCACATGTAAATGAAACAACACCTAAGCTCTCACAACTCTTGCCAAAGAGAATAATCATATTAACTATCTGGAATTCTAGCATGTCAATACTTTTCAGTGATTGATATTCACATGTTATTTGGCAATAACATGGATGTGAATGTTTTTATTTGCCCATAAAGAACATGGGACAAAAATCATCCCCCCGTATTGATAATATAAACAAGTGAGTCTTTAAAGAGCATTTCATTACATTAATGACCAACTTGTTATATACAAGTTTTACCTGTCATCTGTAGTTATCTCCCCTTGTCTATCCCCGGTCTGTTTCTCCACTTCTTTGGCCTTTCTCTGTAGCAGAGCGTCCCGGTGAGCATACAGACCTGTTATAAAGGAGAACTTTGTGACAAAGGGAATGACATACACAAAGCCACCTTCAAGTAATAATAACCATTAATGGGCCATCCTCATAAAAAAGTTAGTTTCCCTTCTCGCATATTTTCAGAGGCTAGGTAACTATTTATTTTTTATATATCTAATGATGTCATATTTCTATATAAAACGCTAACTTTAAATGATTTTTTGTAAACAAATGCTTTTAAAAGTTCACAAAAAGAAAATATCTCCATTAATGTGTTTTAAAAATTAATAACATTCCAAGCAATGCTTATTGCTTTCAAAAGTCAAGGTCCTAAGCAAACAACTTAAAGGGAGCTGACACTTTTGCTTCAGATTGATATAGAGATGTCACAGAGAAAGTACTGCTACTTGTTCAAAAAGACAGGTAATATACTGGAACACAGCAGACAGTAGATATAAGGATTCAAACAGTTGTACAAATTACAGCAGCTTTGGAGTTTTAAGCAGTACAATAAATATCAAGGATTGATAATTTGTAATAAGAAGTCAACTGCAACTCAGTATGTATTCTTGACACTGCAGAAGTTATCGCAATAACTAGGTTGATTTTTCCAGACACTACAGTAGTTATCTCAAGATTAACCAATATTACTGGAATACTGACTTTTACTAACTGTGACACTGAACTTGAAGATTAGATTTAAGATTAGTCTTTCGGATTCTGAGTTAATCTCTGAAAACAAAAGTATTGATGGACAGACAGACAGAGAGATCGACACTGTGATTAATATAGGGCACCTGCACATCAGATGCGGAGCTCTTAAATGAAAATAGGTGTGAGCCTGAACCTGTGTCTACCACAGCTTAAGTTAGTAAACGGTCACAGGGTGAGCCATACCTTGTAACATCTCAACACGACCACTTGCGAAGCTGATTCGCTGACCGTATCTTTGGAGTGTTACTAGGGCAGCGGTCAGTGGCTGGAGCTTGGCCTCCATGGCAGAGATGGCGCTGGACATAGGATAGAAAATTTGTTCAGATTTTAACAACATTGCTAATGAGTAAAGACATTATAAATAAAAACCAATGTTGATCAGTGAAAGAATGTTTATCGCCGAAAGATATCAATTGACATCATCACTCAGAACTTATGACACAAGCTTACTGTGAAACTCCATCAGACTGTCTCTTTTTACGGTTTTCATATTTTTTCTTCTCTTTCCAAATATGTTCCTCTTAATTTGTACATCATCTAAAAAAAGCTTTTTTAATTGTTACGTGCAAAGTATCATTTTCAAATTTTGCAAAAAAGACAGGTAGAGAAGAAAAAATATTCATATGTATGTATGAGGTAATGCAAGCCTCTGATCTGATTCAAATTTCTATAAACATGGGAAGAATTTCAATATCCCCAACATCTGGTACATATGATAGGCTCTATTACCTATTTAATAATTTAGAAAAAGGATTTCAAATAAATTTAAACACAAACAATGAAGTGATTTCAACGTGATTTTTATGCTGTTGAATTCAGTAACGGGCACCTTTGTGCGAAGTTGCCCAGACTGTCCATTGAATCCCTGTCCTGAGAAATCTGCTGGTCAAGCATGACCGCCACCTTCTGTGTGTCCCCTGCCTCTTGCTGTAGTCTCTATAGCACAAAGAAACAAATTAACATCATCTCATAACATCTGTATCATTAATTGCCTCTCAAACACACAGAAACAAATATCATCTCATAAGATCTGGAGCATTGCCTCTTAAACACACCGAAACAGTGCCATTATCATACTGGGACATTAAACCAAACGACAATTATCAATACAGCCCATTTGGTCCCATTATTACTAGATCTCTAATTACACGCATGCAAAAATCAGAATTTTTACATTTTTATCTCAATGATAATGCTTTATCTAGTCATGGTCAGTGTGTGCTATTTAAGGAATGTAATAACAGTGATTTTTTTCTGTGAATTTTGGGCCTAGATATTTTCTGCCATATTTTCCCAAAACCATGCTTTCAGTACGTGATATTTTCCAAAAGTCACAAGGTACAGGCCGCTGTCTGAAAGAAATAACAAATAGTGGCAGCATTACAAGGTTTTATTGTATCATCAATTTCAAAGATTTGGTAAGTAGTAAAGTCAAGGTCCCAACCTGTCCCAACAACCTGTCCTAGTGTCTATATATATAGATAGATAGAGCTATACTGTATGTCAATTTGTATACTTTACCTTGTTGCTGTTGGATTCCATGTCGAACTGTGCCTTGACGTCAGACAGGGAGTGGGCCAGAACCTCCTTCTGACTGTTCAGGGACATCACCTGGTCCTTGAGGTCTGACACCTTAAATTACAACACTCTTAAGCTTCAACTCAAATTCATGTCCAACACACTTGAGCTTCCATTAAAATTCATATTCAATTCATATGCAACTCCCTTGAGCTTCAATTCAAATTCATAACCAAAACAGTTTAGCTTCAATTCATTGTAATTTATATATTCAACACACTTCAGCTTTAATTTAAATTCATATTCAACACACCACAGTTTCAATTAAAATTCATATTTAATATTCTTTAGCTTCAATTAATTAGAATTTGTATTAATTTAAATTCATATTCAACACACTACAGCTTCAATTCAAATTCATATTTAATATTCTTTAGCTTCAATTAATTAGAATTTGTATTCAACATACATTCAATTAAGTTTAATTCAAATTCATATTCAAAGCTCTACACCGTCAATTCAAGTCTATATTCAATAGGTCAATGACCTTTACATTTTGTATAAGAGAAACCTGTTTAAACCTGATTCATGAAAACTAGACCTACATGTTGAATAGAAGATATTTTCAGAGGAAAATGTTCAAGTTTATTTCAACAATACCAGTTATTGTCTTTCACTATAACTTTATATTAGAAACAGTCTGCTACAGAGGAGACAATCTTACCTTTTCCTTCCAGTTGTGGTCATTCTTCTTCTTCATCATCTCTGACGACTTCTGCTGAACAAGGAGAGCAAACACTTTTTCCCGCCATCTAAAAATGTATCAGTTTTACTCTAAAATCACTGACAGAATGAGTTTTGCTAAACTTAAAGAAACTTATTTTTTTGTTGAATTTATAACATGGAAACATGTGGTCGGGTGATGCAGTGGATAGCGCACTTGACTTTCACCAAGGCAACAGGGGTTCGATTCCCTGATCGGACTTGAAATGATATAGGGTCACCTCCCCAACCACATTGGTTTTCTCCGGGTACTCCGGTTTCCTCCCACAGTAAGACCTCCTGTGCGCTAGCATCCAGCCCAACAAGAGTGATTAGTATAGGTTGTAAAAACTTGTTTCATATTTGTTGTAAAATAAATCAAGTTTATATATTATATTAACATAGAAACAGCCCTGAAGAGATAGTATTACGACTAACCTTAAGCTTGTTACTAGTGTGAAAACTTTGGTCTAAAAAAAAGTCAGGATAAAGGACTATGTATGGTTTGGGCCTTTTTTGGCCCCCAAATCCATCAAAATTAAAAATCTGCAATAAAACTTTCAAACAACTGTTTCTCTAATTTTGAATACTTCCCTAGTATTATAATGTAAACATTTATTTGTGTTTTCAATTTTGGCTGCCATGGTAACCAGGTCATATTTGCATAAATTATTGAAATTTGATTATTCAGTCAATTTTGACAAGTTTTCACCTAGATTTCCTCTTAGCTACCATAGAGCGCACTCTTGAACAAACTTTATATTTCTCCTAAAGATGTATTACAGGTGCCTACACATTATCCTTTGAGATTAAGTTTGTCCAATCATGCGCTCTATAGTTTTTAGGAGAAAAACTATGCAAAATATCACAATATTCACTGAATATTCATTTTTTTCTAATTTATGCAAATTTGAACTTGTTACCATGGCAATAATAATTAGAAATGTAAATAAATATGTTCATAATAGTATTTGGGAAGTATTCGAAATTAAAGAAACAGTCATTTCAAAGTTAATTGAAAGGTTTTGAATTTTGATGCATTTTGGGGCCAAAACCCGCCCAAACCATACATAGTCCTTTCCCAGTTTATTGATATAAAACAGGAAACATCATTTGATAGTCTTCAGTTCTTCAACTGAAGTGCTCTGTTTTGGTCAGTTTTCTGCTTTATCAGAGCTTATATATCTATCTTATATAAATTCTCAAGTAAACAATCTTTCACCTAACAATAACATGGGATTTGAACAAATCAGACATTCATGACAAATGTAACCTATCTACATACAATGTAAAATTATATATACATGTATTCAATGTAAATGTGAAATATTTTGTGTTTGAAAATTTACATGTCCATTATTCAAATCATATGTTGTGGCGAACATTTTTCTTTAAAAAATAGAACTGCTGCCATATATATTTCATAGTTTGTCTTTGTTTTTCTTAGACAATGAAAAAAATTCCCATAAGGTCTTAAGGATTTATATAGCGAAATGTTACAGAAAGTCAGAGGAATTCATCTACACTATATAATATAATAGTATATAAACTAGCAGACATATCCATGTTCACATTATTCGACAGATCAACATCCGTAGGTGTGTTTCCTGTAACAGCTTATTTAATTTGGCCCAGCTACTAGTTATAACAATACAGGTGATTTATTTACCTATAATTACCCCCCACATAAGGGAGTTGTAAAGATCAATACAACAATTGGTAATTTTATGGCCCAAATCATTAAATATTAATAGGGACTGCTGGGTATTCTGTCCCACATCAGACATAAGTGGACTAGCCCGCATTGGTTAAAGGCATAGTTTATTGCTGTAAGAAGGGGAAACAGGGTGTAAATGATGGATGATATCTACCTGGTAAGTAGATTTTCTTTCTGGTCTTTGTCAATCTTCTCCTTTGTCGTCTGAAACAGAAAGAATATTTTCATATTTTGTTCTCCTACAGCTAACAATAGTGAGGATAAGATCAGGATATTAAATTTGAGTGTAAGGTGAGGATACTAATCTGAGTATAAGATGAGGATACTAAATCTGAGTGTAAGGTGACGATACTAATCTGAGTGTAACTCACACAGTAAGATGAGGATACTAATATGAGTGTAAGGTGAGGATACTAATCTGAGTGTAAGATGAGGATATTAAATTTGAGTGTAAGGTGAGGATACTAATCTGAGTGTAAGATGGCCTGGGGATACTTAATATAAATGTAAGGTTCAGATACTTTATCTGTGTGTAAGATGAGGATACTTAATATAAATGTAAGGTTCAGATACTTTATCTGAGTGTAAGATGGGGATACTTAATATGAGTGTAAGGTAAAGATACTTAATATAAATGTAAGGTTCAGATACTTTATCTGAGTGTAAGATGAGGGTACTAAATCTGAGTGTAAGATGAGGATACTTAATATAAATGTAAGGTTCAGATACTTTATCTGAGTGTAAGATGGGTATACTTAATATGAGTGTAAGGTAAAGACACTAAATCAGTGTGTAAGGTAAGGATGAATATTCAAGGAAGTCATTGTACAATGAAACCTTGGTAATCTGACCATGTCTGTCCCCAAGAAAATATACTTATTTATCTTCTTGGTATGCAAAATATGACTTTTCATTTTATTGTTTTATTGTATAAAGCATAGCAATAATTGTAATGAAGCAGTTTTGAAGAAAAATGTTTCCTATGTTTTCAACTTCAGTCTATGTACCTACCCGGGAGAGTTCCGCTTCCTGCAGACTCAGTATCTCATTGAGCGAGGATAAACGAATGTTGAGGAGCTGGACAGTAGACTGTAGATTGTCACGGTCCGCTTCACAAATCTATCAAAATCCAAAATGTACAATCAACATCAACATCTTCTTCACAAAACTATTTCAATCAGATAATTGACAAAACTGTTATTTACTTCACAAATTCATATTCATCCCATAAGTCTGTCACCTATCAGATTTTCAATGTTCAACTAATACTAACTATAAGATAACACTTCGCCACATACTGTTGTTATCCCATAAAAGCAAATTTCAGCTGTTCACTTTTACCAGTAGTTACTATGTAAATTATGTTATTTGAATTTGCCCATCTTGATATGACCCCAGCTATTGCGAGGACTCAAACAAACAAACTTATATTTGCTGTAATGATAAATTCGTCCTTAATTTGAATGGAGAAATATTAAATTTCCTGGTACATGTTTATGAGATCGATGGAAGAAACAGGTGCAGTTTTAATTGAATAAGGATGGTGACAAAACAAAACAACAATTGTCAGTATTATCATTGATGGTCCATTCGTGCAGTTTTATTCAATTTTTATTTTTTATTTTTATGAAAGTTAGCAAAGAAAACAACTAATCACCATTTTATATTGTAGAGTTGAAGAAAATTTAATCCAGTTGAATAAAATGTCTTTGACAGTTCACTTTGTGATGAATACATGTACACAGAATAATTTCATATCTTGGATTTAAAATACTTGAGCCATACAAGATGGGGTCGACTCTCTTTTGTTATCATACCTGTATTTTGTTGTGTAGTGTATCATTCTCCTTCCTCCAGACCTCCACGGGTTTGTGTGTGCGCTCCGCGTCTCCTATATAGTTTTTCAGCTGAGTGACCTGTTTCTGTAGACTCTCCAGATTAAACTCTTTCGACCTGAAGTGTCAGAATTGGTATTCCAAGAGTGTTCATCACAGTACATGTTTTTCAAAAGATATGGACTGAGGGTCTTTAACATGACCAGATGTTTGGTAGATGATTTAAAACTCAACAAGGCATCACAAGTGATACAAATCCCCTCGCATTCACACATTGTGTGCCATATGTACAAGGAAATGAATAGAAAATTCAATGATGTAACAGTAACTGCTCTAGCGACTGCATCTGTTGAAGGTATTGTCATGGCAAAAAATTGAATCAAGTTTCACGAAATTTGATTGAGGAATGAAGTCGACATATTTGGCTGTAATTGTGCTAGAATTGTATTTCAAATCTTTGCAATGTTGCCTTTAATTATATCTGAATTTATATTCATATATAATGCTATTACTCTGCATATATTATTGCCGTAGATTGTAGAGAAGGCCTCAAGGGAGAATAGTTTTTTTTAACTAATTAAGCTACCTTCTATAAATAAAGCATTATTATTATTATAGAGCGATGACACAGTTTAAAAAAAAAAAGTAACAGTGACCTTGACCTTCAACGCCGTTACCCAAAACAAGAACTTGTTCAAGATATTGAAATACCAAACACTTGTATCAAGTTTAATAAAATTTAGTTAAGGAATGAAGTCCCTAGAGTGATGACAAAGTTTTTTCTAAAAATAGTAACAGTGACCTTGACCTTCAATGCAGTTACATAAAAGGGCAAACTTGTTCAAAGTATTGTCATTCAAAACACTTGTACGCAGTAACCGGAAACACAAATTTTTACAAGGTATTGTCATACTAAACACTTGAATGAAGTTTCATGAAATTTTGTTAAGTAATGAAGTCACTAGAGCAATGACAAAGTTCTTCTAAAAATAGTAACAGTGACCTTGACCTTCAATGCAGTTACATAAAACGCAAACTTGTTCAAAGTATTGTCATTCAAAACACTTGTATCAAGTTTCATGAAATTCCTTTGAGAAATGAAGTCTCTAGAGCAATGACAAAGAGTGTAACATACGTACCTACGGGCAGAATCTCATATCCCCTCAAACTTTTGTTGTGAGGGGTAATAAAAACAGTCCTTAAATATGAAGAATTTCAATACTGTATACTGGAACATTTTCACCCTTTGCCAGAATAATCCATACTCGCCAAGGGTTAATTTCACCTTCACATTTAATTACTATGCATATTATTTTGTTCAAAAATGTTCACTGTAATGATAAATGTGTCCTTATCACAGCGGGTGAATAAGGCGATGTTCACTGTGATGATAAAGTCATCCTTATAACAGCGGGTGAATAAGGCGATGTTCACTGTGATGATAAAGTCGTCCTTATCACAGCGGGTGAATAAGGCGATGTTCAGTGTGATGATAAAGTCGTCCTTATCACAGCGGGTGAATAAGGCAAAAATTAAACAGCAGTGAACATTTCCCAGTATACATTACCTATTTTCAAACAGAAATCACTATCTAAGGTTTTCAAGGAAAATAATTCCTTTCACAGTCAGACAGTGAATCAACAAAGTAAGTTCTGATAAAGACCTAGTAAAGATATATATAATCTAAAAGTTTTACATAAACTTAAAAATAACTTTTTCATAAGGTTCAGTGATATAGACTCACCGTAACTCTTTCTCCAAGGTCACTTTGGTGACAGTCAGGTTTTCCTCACTGACCTTCAGCTGCGACTCAAGGTCAACCACTCGAGTAGATGACCGTTTGGCAAGACTATTGAGTTCCTCCTTAAGTTTCAGCACCACACCGTTCAACTCCTCTTTCTCCCCTTCATAGTCATAACTTAGACGGCTAACCTGTAACAGTCAAAATCTTAATTGTAAAAGGGTGATCATGACCTTTGACCCTTTAATAATATCTGTCATTCTAGCCTTGGACCTATATGTGCATTTATCTGAGAATTAATATATCCATATGGCCTTCGACCTCAGTTACCTGTGAGTTGTATCTGTCCTCTTGACTTTTGAGCTCAGTCTCCAAGGAGGCGACCTCTTGAATGTACTTTTTCTCTGTGATGGCGTAGTCCCGTTCTAGCTTGGCAACCTCTTCTCGATGTGTGACCTTGACCTGCTGCAAGTCCTTCTTAAGGTCACCAATCTCTGTAGCCTGTTTCATCAGCAACTCGTCAATGTATCGTCGATCAGTGTCGGGGATATGTTTATGTTCTTCTGTTACTCGAATGTCCTGCAATATTTGTAACAATCACAATATTCTGCCTTATTCTTTTTTAAGCTTTGTTCAGATGCTGATACAATGTACCATGGATGAATGTAAATGTACTCCACAAGAGAGATAACCAAACCTGCCTTTTGATTGTACTGGATTTGATAGAATCACAGGTGCTTGATCCAATTGTTTTTTATTTTTAACTATAGTACTTGAGCAAGGCTACTACTAGCCTTGTCAATAGCACTGTAGCACACATTGCAGCATTATCAAGACCAAGATTGATTTTTTATTTTTATTTCATTTTTAAATGTCAATCAATTTAAGCACCTGTGAATAGAATGAAAGTTTGAATTAATTGAAATAATAGGGTCTGGTTATTGATCTTATGAAAGTCAGATGAATCCATGAAATCTGTGGCAATCAGTAAGATTTATATTAATGCCTCTTCTTTTCCAAAATCCTTCTACTATAATACTGTATGCATACTTATATTAACACACTCAAATTTTGGCAGAAAGAATAGGGTAGGACATATAAACGCACTCTTAAATTACCAGAATCGCAGTACCTAGATTCATGAATCATCCCAAACATTATTTTCTGAAATTGACTTTAACATATATGCTGGTTTATCGGAACAAAGCCTATAGGATGGTGATCCAGGTAAATCGGGCGAGTACCTTAAAACAAAATAAAGCTTTTCTTCGCATATGAATGCAATGAGATTTTGTCATTTCCTGTCCCCTGAAATTTTCCCTTTTATGGAATACCTATGCTATATGATCTAATTTTAGCGCAGGACATGAATAAGCAGACATGACATAGACGTAAGCAGCTAAAATTAGAATACCACTAAAATTAGTATGCTTACAGTACCTAATGTAACAGTATGGTGTCTAAAATTTATTCCTATTTTATCAAGGGATATGAGTGTGGAATACATACCTGAACAGGGGCTGGCATGATAATAGGAATACTTGGTGTTTCCCTGAAATAAAAAAATCTTCTTTGATTTTGCCGGTAAGACAAACTTTTCCACAGAATGTGAGCTACAATGTAACCTCAATGAACATGTATTTTATTGCTTACAGTGATATTTAGACACCCTATATCAAGTTATGATGAAACAAAAGGCCCATGCACACACCTCAATTCTTCCCCTGTGAATTTGTTTGATGAAATATTTGACCCTTATGATCTTGAAAGTAGGTAAAGTTAAGGAATTACTTTGAACAAAAATGGTGCTGATGCCAGTCATTTTGAACAAAGTTGATAGCGATCCACTCCAACAAGCTTCAGGTTTAACATACAAACTCTAAAAGTATTACAGTACAATTACTGTGACAAAATGATTTGGAACATTTACCCTGAAACCTTGATGGAGGATCAAGGTCATTCTGAAAACAATTAGCAGTCCTTACACCTCAACTATTGTGTTGTTGTTTAATTTCAGGGGACTAGTATCTAGCAGTTGTCTCGATCAGAGCTTTAAGTTCAGGGGGATCACGCCCAACATGGCTAGGTAAAATTATCACGAGGGCACTTTTGTATTTTGGAGGTGGGGTCAACTTTATCTGTGTTTTGTGAAAGTAAAGTAAAATACGATATTGAAATGATGTTTTGTCTTTGTCATTTGGTAATAAATGGGTAAACAAATATTTTCATCTGTGTCGGTAAATATATATTCACAGAGATTATAATTCATGGTATTGATATTTGCTGGATATTTAATTTCAGGTTATCTGTGGTGACGTACCGCAAACATAGCGAAAATTAAATCCACCGTGAATATTACGATCTCTACAGTACGTAGTTTGTGGCCACAAATGTCTCACAACTCATATTGGTCTCATGATCATGGTCTCATGGTCTCATGATCACGAGTAAAGATTATTTACTTCAACAAAATTGATAATTAACCATCCGGTAAGATGGAAGACTGATTTTAAAACTTCCCAGTTAAGCTATGTATCAATATCATACCAAATTATCATAGCTCATTTGAAATAAATTGGATTTCTATTGATTTTTTTAAGCATTGTCATGTTTTCTTTTTCTTCAACTGAAGAAAACTTTTTCGATACTGAAAAAACAGCTAAACATCTCTCAGATTATTTGTACATTGTATATTGTTTTATTCATGAATGGAATTTGTTACATCAAGGTATCTATTACTACACACACACACTCAGATATACAGATTATTTAAATGAAAATGGCTTTTGTATCACTGACTGTAAATTGAAAATTGATCATGATAAATCAGATAAAAATTTTACAAAAATAAAAACAAACGATCAGATGATCTTTGAATGTAAATATGTGTATTATACATGTATGGATAGTGACCCCGTGTTCCCATGCAAAAATGGATTGTATTATAATGTAATTATACACACTGCTGATACACCAGCCAGCTAGCTGGGATGTAAATATATATATGTTACAGGCATAAAATAACACATCTGTCACCACTAATTCATAACAGGAAGGAACAGGACAACTATAGTAAGCTTAGTTATAATGGTGAGTTGACTGACTGCATTTCATGCATTATGATTATCATATACATATATATGTGTTTGGTTGATGGTTCAGTTGCATTGTTCAATACCACATCAGCACCATGTATGCCTATGTACTATATGTTTTGCCCTATATTTTTATATGATAAAGTTCATTTTCCGTGAGTAAATTGTATTTTTCAATGTTTAAATACTTAGCAGAAGCAGACACATTTACTCATTCACCTCTGAAGACATATACAGAATACATATCCACCTACAAACCAGATATACATAACACATATCTACCTACAAACCAGATATACATAACACATATCTACCTACAAACCAGATATACAGAACACATATCTACCTACAAACCAGATATACAGAACACATATCTACCTACAAACCAGATATACAGAACACATATCTACCTACAAACCAGATATACAGAACACATATCTACCTACAAACCAGATATACAGAACACATATCTACCTACAAACCAGATATACAGAACACATATCTACCTACAAACCAGATATACAGAACACATATCTACCTACAAACCAGATATACAGAACACATATCTACCTACAAACCAGATATACAGAACACATATCTACCTACAAACCAGATATACAGAACACATATCTACCTACAAACCAGATATACAGAACACATATCTACCTACAAACCAGATATACAGAACACATATCTACCTACAAACCAGATATACAGAACACATATCTACCTACAAACCAGATATACAGAACACATATCTACCTACAAACCAGATATACAGAACACATATCTACCTACAAACCAGATATACAGAACACATATCTACCTACAAACCAGATATACAGAACACATATCTACCTACAAACCAGATATACAGAACACATATCTACCTACAAACCAGATATACAGAACACATATCTACCTACAAACCAGATATACAGAACACATATCTACCTACAAACCAGATATACAGAACACATATCTACCTACAAACCAGATATACAGAACACATATCTACCTACAAACCAGATATACAGAACACATATCTACCTACAAACCAGATATACAGAACACATATCTACCTACAAACCAGATATACAGAACACATATCTACCTACAAACCAGATATACAGAACACATATCTACCTACAAACCAGATATACAGAACACATATCTACCTACAAACCAGATATACAGAACACATATCTACCTACAAACCAGATATACAGAACACATATCTACCTACAAACCAGATATACAGAACACATATCTACCTACAAACCAGATATACAGAACACATATCTACCTACAAACCAGATATACAGAACACATATCTACCTACAAACCAGATATACAGAACACATATCTACCTACAAACCAGATATACAGAACACATATCTACCTACAAACCAGATATACAGAACACATATCTACCTACAAACCAGATATACAGAACACATATCTACCTACAAACCAGATATACAGAACACATATCTACCTACAAACCAGATATACAGAACACATATCTACCTACAAACCAGATATACAGAACACATATCTACCTACAAACCAGATATACAGAACACATATCTACCTACAAACCAGATATACAGAACACATATCTACCTACAAACCAGATATACAGAACACATATCTACCTACAAACCAGATATACAGAACACATATCTACCTACAAACCAGATATACAGAACACATATCTACCTACAAACCAGATATACAGAACACATATCTACCTACAAACCAGATATACAGAACACATATCTACCTACAAACCAGATATACAGAACACATATCTACCTACAAACCAGATATACAGAACACATATCTACCTACAAACCAGATATACAGAACACATATCTACCTACAAACCAGATATACAGAACACATATCTACCTACAAACCAGATATACAGAACACATATCTACCTACAAACCAGATATACAGAACACATATCTACCTACAAACCAGATATACAGAACACATATCTACCTACAAACCAGATATACAGAACACATATCTACCTACAAACCAGATATACAGAACACATATCTACCTACAAACCAGATATACAGAACACATATCTACCTACAAACCAGATATACAGAACACATATCTACCTACAAACCAGATATACAGAACACATATCTACCTACAAACCAGATATACAGAACACATATCTACCTACAAACCAGATATACAGAACACATATCTACCTACAAACCAGATATACAGAACACATATCTACCTACAAACCAGATATACAGAACACATATCTACCTACAAACCAGATATACAGAACACATATCTACCTACAAACCAGATATACAGAACACATATCTACCTACAAACCAGATATACAGAACACATATCTACCTACAAACCAGATATACAGAACACATATCTACCTACAAACCAGATATACAGAACACATATCTACCTACAAACCAGATATACAGAACACATATCTACCTACAAACCAGATATACAGAACACATATCTACCTACAAACCAGATATACAGAACACATATCTACCTACAAACCAGATATACAGAACACATATCTACCTACAAACCAGATATACAGAACACATATCTACCTACAAACCAGATATACAGAACACATATCTACCTACAAACCAGATATACAGAACACATATCTACCTACAAACCAGATATACAGAACACATATCTACCTACAAACCAGATATACAGAACACATATCTACCTACAAACCAGATATACAGAACACATATCTACCTACAAACCAGATATACAGAACACATATCTACCTACAAACCAGATATACAGAACACATATCTACCTACAAACCAGATATACAGAACACATATCTACCTACAAACCAGATATACAGAACACATATCTACCTACAAACCAGATATACAGAACACATATCTACCTACAAACCAGATATACAGAACACATATCTACCTACAAACCAGATATACAGAACACATATCTACCTACAAACCAGATATACAGAACACATATCTACCTACAAACCAGATATACAGAACACATATCTACCTACAAACCAGATATACAGAACACATATCTACCTACAAACCAGATATACAGAACACATATCTACCTACAAACCAGATATACAGAACACATATCTACCTACAAACCAGATATACAGAACACATATCTACCTACAAACCAGATATACAGAACACATATCTACCTACAAACCAGATATACAGAACACATATCTACCTACAAACCAGATATACAGAACACATATCTACCTACAAACCAGATATACAGAACACATATCTACCTACAAACCAGATATACAGAACACATATCTACCTACAAACCAGATATACAGAACACATATCTACCTACAAACCAGATATACAGAACACATATCTACCTACAAACCAGATATACAGAACACATATCTACCTACAAA